CCCAGGTACCCTAGCAATATGTTTTATACCTATCTGTTTTTCTGACACGGCCTTGAAAACATTCAAACTTTAATCTTTCAAACTATTTTAACTTTCAAACTACTTCAAAGTGAAAACTTTCAGACTGCAAGCTTTTAAAACTTTTTCAAACTTCCTAGCTTGGCTTTGTCTACAAACTTTTCAATCTAGTTCAATATAATGTTTACGCCTGTGCTGATATACGCTGTTATTTTTGCGTGGCAATATGTCAAAGTCAAGTTGACTTACCAGAATCAGTCAGAAACTTAATGTCATCCATAGGTTTTTTCTTTGATGGTTTATCGACTGCAATTCGGACCGACACTTTCCCCGAGAGCTGTCCTAGTTCCTGCAGAATCTGCTCACCCTACAATGAACAGATCACTTGGGTAAGACATCACGAGCACAGCCTATTCTTCAGTGAGAAGTCATTAAACTTCACATCCAAACCTGATTGGCTGTGGCCTCGTGTGTGTGTGTGTCGTCATTGGTAAGAGTCCAGTAGAAGGAGGCGATGTCCAGACTGGTCTGAGCACCAGATATAAGGTTGAGCCAGGCTTCATATACGGACTGATGAGTGGTTGAGGAGTTAAACACCAGTCCCTCAGGAATACTCTCCACTAAAACAATCCTGTAAATGACACACATGGGCAACAAAGCCATAAATGCAGACTTCATTGAAAGTGCAGCTGTGAAACAGTGTGCTGTGGTTAACCTCATTTACCAGTGGACCACTGAAACACTCAAAAACACAAAGAAATGTGTGACAGAATGATAAGTGACCCAAATAAAGTCCCATAGGTGGGTGTCTACCTGCAGGGATCAGTACAGGTTTCTCTGATTAGAAGGTGCTCCTGCTGTCCAGATGATTTTGAGGAGGAGGAGGAGGAGGAGGAAGAGGAAGATGTTGCCATGGGAACAAGCAGGGTTTGGAGTGACAGGAGTATCAACAGTATTGTGGTTAAACAGGTGAGAATGATCAGACACCTGTAATACTAAACACAGAGATGGATACGTTCA